AACAATAATGATAGTGATAGTAAAGATTATAGTAAAATATGAATCTATTCATTCATAAGCTGAATGAACATGTTGGCACACCTATGCACGCGGAGTTTAGTCTTGATATTACTTGAAATTCGGCAGCAAATACAAATAAAAGTATTGCAAGAAACCGCAGATAAGGACACTGTAGTTAAAACCCATAATGATATGTAGGTACCACAGGTGAGATAAGATTGTTTAATTCGACGTCAAAATTTTCTTCATGGCCCCCTAGAAAGCATCCCGCGGGCCCCCTGGGAGCCATGGCCCCTAGATTGTGAACTTCTGCTCAATTCTTTCTTGTTCCTTCTTCGCTCTCTTTTCCATGTTACTTTTGTTTTTATGTATCTTTCTCACTTTCCTCTTCTACATTATTACATCTCCAACTTTTCTCAATGTTTTTTTTCTGTTCTTCAGCTTTGTGTTCTCGCTCCATGATTGTAAACTGAATTATATTGATGGCTTTAAATGGAGAGATATGTAAGGATGGTTGCAAAAAGAAACGGGAAAAGGAGGTATGAGATGATGAGGAGGAGGAGAAGAAGGAGGATGGTGAAAATGATTGTGATGATGAGGATGATGAGTAGTAGGAGGATGTTGCTGGTGATAAGGAGGATAATGATGAATATGACGATGATGAAGATAATGATAACGATGGTGATGATAATGATGATTATGATGACGGACGATGAGGAGGAGGAGGAGGGCCAAGAGCAATAACAGGAGGAAGTGGAAGACGAAGAGAAAGGGGAGATAAAGATGTTGATGAAGAAGATTAGAAGTGAGAATAGGAAATTAAGGAAAATATAACACAGAAAGGAATGCAAGAAAATGAGAAGGAAAACAAACCAGCATGACCCAGCAAAACCGAGAGGACACTGGGATGACTATGTTATTTTGTGCATTTTTTTCTTCTTTTTTACTCTTTTTCTTATTTTCTGTGCTAGTCATGACTGCATTTCACTCTGCTCTTTGTTGCAAGTTGTCAAGGTCTCGTGCACCCTAGTCTTTTGAAGCAAGATGCTGCGTTGTACTTATGTTTTTCCCATGCTTCGTCTTAGACACTTGGTGGGCCTCTTCAGCCTAAGTTTGGAAGTTGACGGCCATGGTACAAACTATAAGGATTTATCTATTTTCCGATCTATCATTTGTGAAAGAGAGAGAGAGAGAGAGAGAGAGAGAGAGAGAGAGAGAGAGAGAGAGAGAGAGAGAGAGAGAGAGAGAGAGAGAGAGAGAGAGAGAGAGAGAAAATGAGAGAGTATGGCGTGCATATAAACATGACTACGTGTAAAACCATTAGCTCAAGATAGCGCCTTCACAGCCAAGCCAACCTTTCTTGTGCCATATGCGTCTGCCTGCTTGTGTTCCAAAACCAAGCCAATATGACGGTTAAAGTCGACCTATTTTGACCCGCAGGACTCCTGTCGCCGTCACCCCGTCAAGACCCCGCACTCGGCACCGTTCCCAGCCTCGTAACAAGGTCTAAATAAGTACTTACTACTTAGCTTTGCCTTGTTGTGATCATTCAGTTGTCTGCCATGAGTCGTACGCTAACTACCATTGCTTTTTTTATCAATTCACAGTCTTTTACAGTGAGAGAGAGAGAGAGAGAGAGAGAGAGAGAGGAGAGAGAGAGAGAAGAGAGAGAGAGAGAGAGAGAGAGAGAGAGAGAGTGGGGGGGGGAGAATATATATATGAACACACACACACACCACACACCACACACACACACACACACACACACACACACACACACACACACACAACACACACACACACACACACACACACACACACCACACACCTCACCTCCTTGAAAAGTTTGCATGCATATGTATGTGTGAAACTGAATGACACATCTAATTCTTTATGTTTATTTGTATATTATATGGTCTTTCTCTTTGAAACAAAATACTGTAAAAATTTCTCTGTAATATGTTTCTGTTTAGTATATCAACTGTACAGAACTGCAAATACAGAGGTTAATGAAACATAGAATGACAGTATACTTCAATACAATACATTAATGTTTGGTTATACTAAACACTGTATTATGAATAATTTTCACAAGTTTTTCAACAAACAAAGATTTCATTTAAATGCTTAACACATTTTTGAAATGACATAATACTGCATAAAATACAACAGTGATCAATGATTTACAACAAATATGTATTTACCTCATACATGTTCGTGTGTGTGTGTGTGTGTGTGTGTGTGTGTGTGTGTGTGTGTGTGTGTGTGTGTGTGTGTGTGTGTGTGTGTGTGTGTGTGTGTGTGTGTGTGTGCAAATTGTATATTAATGTTAAACTTAAAGACCCTTTATATTGTAACTAACTGACAGATCAGCAGTAATATAAGGTAATTATTTATTTGTCTCATTATTATTTTATTAATTCATTACCTTAGTAATACTTCTACTTACAAGTCTTGAACAATGCAATTATAAATGTTATCTACCTAAACTTCCTCCCTT